CAAACAGAAGATGTGCAGAGTCATTTGTGCAGAGGCTCTTCCAATACCCAGAGGTCTAAGATGTTTTCTCATCACCCAGCTATGGAGGAGCATTTAGGCAGGAAATTAAACAACTACATCCATCATATTTATTGAACAGTTTTTCTCTGAAAGACACCAGTGCAGGATATCAGTCATGGTCAAAGTCCAAAGAGAGAATGTCTTTCTAGCTTCATGGCTCTCTCTCTCTCTCTCTCTCTCTCTCTCTCTCTCTCTCTCTTTCTCTCTCTCTCTCTCTCTTCGTGTGTGTGTATCTGTCGATCTGTCTTTCTCTCTTTGTCTCTATTTCTCTGTATCTGGGTGTGTATGTGTGTCTGTATGTATGTATGTATGTCTCTCTCTTTCTTTGACTCCTTACCCATTACTTTACAGCTTTATTTGCCTTGATTGGTTTCCTTTTCTAGCACTGTTTTTGCCTTACTAGTCCCTTGGTGAGCCCCAACCACCATTCCTAGTGTTACACTCTGCAGGTCTCAGCTCAAATGTGACTCCGTTAAAGAGACTATCCTTGGCCCAACATCTTCTATGAACCTTGATTCTGTTATTTCTCCACTACAGCTCATTCTAAATCCATATGGGCCCTGGCTCCTTGTATTTGGCACCCAACAGCCCCCAAATCCCTGAGGTACTCTGATGATGAAGAGCTGAATCCCGGAGTTCAACCACCTGGTTCAAAGCCAACTTTGTCACTGTTTAGCCGGTGACCTTGATTAAATTACCTAAACACTATGCTCTGGATTGCTGACCTCTACAATAAAAATCATAATAGATCCTTGTCATTAATGTTTCCTCATAAATAACACCGTATGCCATGAAATCAGTTAATGCACATGAAGACTTAGACCCTCTCCTGGTCTATGAAAAGACCTTATGAACATTAGCTGTTCTGGTGGCTGTCAATCCTTGTTCTAACATTGTGGATTGAGGTATGACAGAAGCTCAATAGAAATTAGGGGAATGAATGAAAGCATGTCCATCTAAACAAAAGCTCCGCCCCTCCAGATAAGCGTAGCTTACACCTGAAACTCAGCAGAGGCTGTGGGATAACTGTAGCTCACATCCAGCTTAGAAGGAGTTCCAGGGAGACCCTGAAAGAGCAGGTTGGAAGGTTGTAGGTATTCTTCTCACTTTCCCCAGAACACACAGCAGATTCCTCGACTTGCCTCTGAGAGAGCCTCTGCCAAGGCACAGGGCTCTGCTCCATTGACTCTGCTCCCATCTCCCTCAGTCCCCCAATGCAAAGGGCAGTCAATAAATTATAAAAGTACTCTAAGCCGTGCAGCTGCACCATGGCAATGAATGGAATTCAGAGGCGGCAGGAATGGGGCACAAGAAGGGAGCTTGAGAGTCTTTGTGACCAAATGACCATGTCCAATTTGCTCTGGAGATATCTGGTGATAAACAAGTATATCTGAGATTCCAAACCAGGACCAATGGCCTATTTTTAAAAGGGGGGGGGGATAGTAAAAAGATATGTTCACCTTTCTCAGAGCCATGAACTTAACCACCTCAAATAGTACATCCACACAATCAGAAAAAAAATACCTCTGAAAGCATATATCCTATGAAATTTACTGCCAAAATTTGCAAGTAATGACCCATTCCCAGGGACCCTAACCTACTGTTCAGAGAAAAGACAGCTTTCCTCGTTCCACTGTGCTTGGATAAGAGTTCACCTGGTGGTGGTGGGGAGACACGTACACATTTGTATGTCCTTGCCTGGGCCATGATGGGTGAGCTCATGCACTAGGGAATATGGGATTCCTCACTGTGCCTGTACATTCATAGTAGTGAAATTACTACTGAGGACTCCCAGTGCAAAAAAAAGGTATAGCAGGAGACTTCCTAAAAACAGAGTCCCAACCATCAGACAGCTAAGAGAGGCTAAGAGGGCAGGCAAAGCAAAAACCTGGTGTTGTGGAATATTACTTTAACTAGGCAAAGATGTGTTACATTTGTTTATGCTGCATTTGTTTAACTATGTAAAAATGTTTCACCTTGCCTGCCTAAGGCACCTGATAAGTCTAATAAAAAGCTGAACAGCCAATAGCTAGGCAGAAGAGAACTAGGAAGGGCAGGCAGGCAGAGAGGATAAATAGGAGGAGGAATCTAGGCTTGAGAGAGAGGAGAATAAGGGAGAAAAAGAAGGAGACACCCAGGGCCAGACAGCTGCCAATAAACAAGACATAGAATAGGACATAAAAAAATAAAAGAATGGTAAAAGGCCCCAAGGCAAAATGTATATGAAGAAAAATTTTAATTTAAGTTATAAGAGCTAGTGCCACAAGCATAAGATAAGGCTGAGCATTCATAACTAATAAGAAGTCTTCGTGTCTTTATTTGGGAGTTGGTTGGTGACCCAAAAGAAAGCCTGCTATAACCTGGGGCCAGGGCATGGCTCATTTGTCTTAGTTCCTTGCATAGTTTGCTAAAGGATGGATGGCCTGAAAAGAAACCACCAGTGACAGACCTGGGAAAGAGCAAAGCTCTCTATGAAAGAGGGCCAAGCAGAGAAACTGCTAGAGGAACCACGAACCAGCAACACTAAACTGATTGCTATTCCTATTAAATTTGGGCACAGGTGATCCAGTTCCAGATGGTTTTTGGTTTTGCATTGCAGATGTTGTTTTTATGGTACCCTTCTGGGATTCAGATTATGGGAACTGGGGATTTCTGTCCTGCTTTAAATGCACAATAATTATATAGCAGCTTGCCCCAGAAGACAGACAGGACCAGAGCTTTGTATACTAAACATTCTGGTGCTAGGCTTTGGGGGGGCCTCTAAGAAGAGGGGCTCTTTCCTTCAGAGGAGAAGTGGAATAAGAAAAAAAATGAGTCTTTCAGGGAGATCTAGAAGCTGCTCCAGATGTTTGAAGCAAAGATCAAGTTGTGGGGATGCAGGAAATCCAGATGTGGAATGGAAACACTGCTGCCTTTCCACAAAGAGCATAGGAAAGTGGTAACTATGGTTCAGAGCCCTGGTGAAGGACTGGTGGCGGTAGCAAGTGGGTGAGGCAGGTGTGTACACACATTCACACATGCACATGAGGTATATAAGAGACTATTTGTTTGCACTCATTTTTCTGTGCTTACTCATGTATCTGCTTCTATGTGCACCACTTTGTGTGTACATAGACATAAGTATTTGTGGATCCATAACCGTGGGATACTGCCAAAATGAAGGCAAGCTGTTGTCTCCTAGCCGAACCTTCTCATACTAATTTCAGTATCACATTATTGTTTCAAATTGACTTTATAAATTAATATTAAGAAAACACAAACAGAGCCTGAGGCTAACTTGCAAGAGAGGGCTCCAGAATGGGGTTTTATTATCACTGTTGTTCTCACGAGGATAGTGAGATAAAGTTTGCAACCATTCCTGTTTCATCTGGTTGAACTTCAGGCTAGAGGGGAATCACCCCATAGAACAACCAGAGGACATTCACTGGCCACAGCCTTGTGGGACCAGACAAGAACCTGACAGCTTAATGGAAGCCTGTCTTATTACTGAAGAGATGGGCTCAGAGAGTGATCTTTGGCCAGGACACTTGGCTAGTGCCTTCAACCTGTTCATTACTCCACTGTTTGTCTGGAACTCCCCACCTGGGGACTGGGCACAGTCCTGGGAAAGAGATGAGGAGTAGTATGACCCCCCCACACACACACACACGGATGGTCCTGTCTGAGGCAGCAGTTTCTCTGTTGGTAAGAGCCAGTCTCCAAAGCCATATCTGCCCTGCCACTTGGTAATATTAAGTAGTATGGGTAACTCAGGGAGATGCAGAGGGGCAGCATGCACTCCAGGAGCTCCTGGGCATGGAAAAAGGGGAGAAGAGTCTAGAGGAAGTCTCTCCCTAGACACAAAAATTATATCTTCTATCATCTATGGGATGACGTGGTCAGTGGCTCCTGCATCACCTCAGAGTCAGGAACAACAGAAGTGGTTCCAGAGCTGCTAAACCAGTCACTTAAACCCAAGATGAGCACAGGACTGAGGTGACGGTAAAGATCTGGGGACTCAGCGTCAGTCCACAGGGTAAAGAACACTTTGGTCCAGCAATGCCGAGCTGTGAATCTTTGGATTAAGGAAGGAGGAGACAAAGCCTGGAGAAAGCTCTGACATTGACAGGAACTGGCCTTTTGGAGTTTTGAAGAGGACACAGCTGGAGGCCCTGACCACAGGTGTGAGCGAGGACTGTCCAGAATGTCACCCTGAAAGAACATCGATGCTGTCTTAGGCTCTGGCAAGTGGACAAAAGCCTCCACTTTTTAGAAACCTCCCGCTCAATGAATGCATGGCCTCTGTGCAAACACACACACACACACACACACACACACACACACACACACACACCCTGCTCCCTGCCTCCCAGCTCCCTAGTACTGAGAAATTCCTAGATGGCCTGTCCACCCACCTTGGCCATCTCTTGGTTTCTCTGCACTAGGCAGTGCCTCCTACCTCCTTGTTAGAATGCCCAGTGCACTGGGGAGGGAGAGGAGAGAGTGACACTCCTCCACCACTTGACAGGTCTTTAAAGAAAGAAACAGTGCCCACAGGTGGGGCCGCCCCACTGGCAGGCTACTGGGGAGTCCCATCTCCAACCCATACAATCTGCCTTGTATCCACTTTGGACTGTCCAAAGCCAAGCGGGGGCCGCACCCTCCTTGATTTCCAGCTTAGTCTTAGTCCCTTAGAACTGTCCCCTCTCCAGCACTCCACACCCCCAGCATCCCAGCCTTGAAACAATCGCCCTTTGAGAGAGTCTGCCAAGTAAGGGGCCTGAGCAGCCAGGATCGAAGGATGGAGGCGGATGGGCTGGGGGTGCGGGTCGGGCGGGCACGCTCTCTTCCCTCGAGCCAAAGCTGGAGTACCCTGGGCCCCTCCCGCGGCCACTCCAGCACCCGAAGCCCAAGCCGCCCCTGTGGGAGGGCCACTGCGGGGAGTGCGGGGAGGTGATACCAAGCTGGGGGAGGGGTCCAGTGTCGGCCCCCGCCTCAGCCCGCGAGGTTGGTACGGACCGCGAGTGGCTCTGGTCCCGCCGGCAGCTCGCGCTCGCGGGGGCGGGGTGCGTGGGGGCGGGGCGGGAGGCGCTGTCACAGCCGCGGCAGCACCGCGCATCCGCCGCCGCCAGCGCCGAGGGCACCACGCGCTGGCCCGCTCTGCTGGGCTCCGGCCGCGCGCCCCGCCACCCCGGCCCAAGCAGCCTGCGCGTCGCCTCTTGGGGCTCCAGTCGTCGCTCCGCGCCTCGCCGCCCGCGCCCTCCCGAGCGCTCCAGGGCTCTGGCCGCCGCCTGGCTGAGCCCAGAAGCAGCCGGGCGGTGGCAGCGGGCCGGCCGAGGCTGTGGAAGAGCGGGCCCACGGCTATGAAGTGGCCCCCGAGGACAGGGAGCCGAAAAACGCCCAGAGAGAGAAGCGCGCGCATCGCAAGGCAGCAGCCTTGGGGCGCTGGGGCCAGAGCATAGGACTACCACCCACGATGGACCGCTCTGGGGACGATAAGGACTCGCCACCGCAGGTCAGTGTCCCGAGCCCCGCGCCCCTACCGCCGCGGTGCACAGAGTCCCTTTATCCCTCCCCATCAGTACCCACACCATGTACGCCCTCGTGCACGCGCGGGGTGTGTGTGTGTGTGTGTGTGTGTGTGTGTGTTTGTGTTGCTCAAAATGGGGACAACAGGAACGAGAGGGCCGGCTGCCAGGGCCTGCACCTGAGGGGCTAGGAAATAAAGCTAGGACGCTGCCTGCCCGGCTCCATCAGGATGAAGACAAAAACTGGTTCTGAGAGTCTTCTAACAACTGGTCTCCCTTGCCACCTCAGCAGGTGGTTCCTGGTGGCCCATAGGACCACAGGAGGTATGGGGGCCAGCTCTAGCCGCACCCCTGCTCACCAGCAGGCACCCCAACCGACCTCCTTTCCCGGACATTTACAATTTAATTCTTTTCAGGGTAGCCAAGCGCCGCGTCTTTTCTGTGGGTGTTGAGGCACTGTGTCAAAAGTGACAGCAAATCCCTGAGTCCTTCAGTACAGCGAAGAGGAAGGAGGCAGGACCAGGTCGTCACCTTCCGCTGTGCATTTGATTGTACAAGTTCAGAAAAGGCAACGGAGATGTGAGACAATAAAGTATTCGATCCAGCACCCCAGGAAACAGCGGTGCCAGCAGCTCAGATCAAGACCACACACACACAGTAACTTGGTCTTGACTGGCTACCACTTACTCACCCAGGCAGATCTAGTCCTAGTTATGCGCTAGGTGATAGCTTATAGAAACGAGCCGAGATGACTCCCAGATTTCCACTGCACAGGACCCTGAGAAGGGCCTTTTGTTGACAGTGGTTTTCCCCATGCCTGCGGAGTACTTCTCTATGGAGACCAGTTTAGCTGGAATGCCCAGTAGGATCTTGATCTTGGACTATCTGGCACACAGTTTCAAGCAAGTGAGCTGCATATAAATATGCTTAGAAATGATGGTGGTGGGGGGAGTTGTAGGGGTTTATGTGTTAATGGCAGGCACACAGCTTCAGAAGTAGCTGGAGGTGTGGTGCGTATTTAGCTATGTAGGGCTATTGATCTAGGTCTTCTGGCCTTACATCTCCCTTCTTCTGTGGAGAGTCACTACAGAGCAGAAGCATTTCCTTTTAGAACCTGCTCAGTTGGTGACCACTCTTGACCGCCCTGAACCAAATATTGAGTCCTCTCTGTGTTCATGCAAGATAAAGATCCTTCCTCCATGAAACCCTCACAAAACCTCCCACTCTATTCAGTTCACTTCCAGGATCTCCAAAGGTCTTGGAGTTACATGCCTTCTCCTCCCTGCCCCTTTCAACAAGAGAAAAATGCTTCCTGGGGGATGGGACCAGAAGAATGAATGCATTTGTGCCCTGGCTTGGCATTGAGGCCATTGTCTTGCTGTTCCTATTTGTATAGCTGCTCTCCAAGTGCTTAGGGATCATCTGTGCCTGTGGATGGGTCGGATATGTGTGTGTGTTTCTGGATGAGGTGCTACTTAGCTCCACCTGAAGCCTGGGATAGGTAAATCACTAAAGGGAACTCAGCTACAGAATGGGAGCCTGTAGCAGAGACCAGCTGCCCAGAGGAAGAAGCCCATTTCTTCTGCTCAGACTTCTTAATAGACTTGGATTTTTCCCCCACCGTTTTTAGAAAAGGGGAGCAAGTCTACTGTGCCTTCATGATATGGATGGAGCCCAGGATGATGAAATTTTCTAAGGATAAGATATGGAAGAGGGTGAGCTAACCAAGGAACCAGGCTCTGAGCCAGGGATTCTGGTGGCCCCATGTGGTTCTAAAAGAAGATTGAGGATTCCCAGAGCTCCTGGGCTTGACATCTGTAGGAAAGGTGAGGCCTCAGAAAAAGGAGAAATCAGAGCCTGAGACAGGCAATGAGAAGGAAGCAGAGAGAAACCTTAGGCGAGGTGTGGCAGAAGTTGGAATATACGAAGCCTTCCTCTGCAAGTTTGCAGTATCCCAAAATTGTCAGTCATTCTCTCCTGGAGAGACCCCTCACTGGAACTGGTGGACGGTCTACTGAGAAAGACTGATGGAGTCAGGATGACTCACAACAGGGATAGCTCATGGACTAAAAAGCAAAGTGTTCCAGCAGTATGAAGGAGATCTTCCTGCTGTGCTTTTGCCCATCTCACCTAGTCCTGGGATGCAGTGTGATGGGGAAGGAGGCAGAGCATGGACAAGCCTGAGGAACCCCTAGGGACGAGGGAGAGACCCCTTCTCCATGTAGCATCCTTCTTGCCAGGGCTCCAGACAAGATCTTTAGAAATCCCCCAAAGACCAGCAAGGAGACATGGTCATGGTCGAGAAGAGACAGGCTGCTAGACGGGCTCCCGGAAGTCCTGCATGTCAGTACCTCGATTCCCAGCTAAGTGAAGACTTTAAGGAGAAAGGGGTCCTCTAAGGCATGTTCTCCTGACAGTCTGCAAATTGGAAGACCATCATCTTTTTAGACTGTTGGGTCCATGGCTATGAATGTTATATTGTGTGTGTGTGTGTGTGTGTGTGTGTGTGTGTGTGTGTGTGTGTGTGTGTTGCGTTCTCCTTTCATGCCCTACTCTCCCAGTATCTGGACAACTCTACAATGGGAAGGCTGGTGGTCAGGCCTGGCCAGTTCAGGTTGGCCCCCTCCAAACCGTCTATGGAGACCCCTTTCTCTAATCAGACCTCCTACAGTCAGGCTCCCTCCCACCTTAACCCATTTAAGTATGTAACCTCTGACTTTGAACTAGACCCAACTCTTCTTGGTCCAGAACCAAATTACCCAGAGCATCTCTCCACTAAAGAGCAGGAAGAATGATATCTTCATATCTAATGACTTTTCATTGTAATCATTCCATATTACCAGCAAATGGTTATCTACAATTTTTTTGAGATTTACAAACACTCTAAATCTATGACCACTTACCCTCCACGCTGGAAGGTGATTATGTCCAGAAGCCACCCCGAGTTCAGTCCACTTGCATTGGCTCTCCGTACCTACTGTGGCCTAAGCTCTGTACCTGGTGATGAGGACATACTGCATCAAACGGTATAAACCCTGTGCTTCTATTTAGCTTTGGGAAGGTTGTGTGGATTGCTTGCATTTTTCCCCTGCAGCTACAGCAAATTTACTTTTCTAATGAGGTTTAGCTCTGGCCAATATTAAAATGAGTCTGTGCTCCCTGCACACACACCAGCTGACGGCAGCACGAGAGGCAGGTTCTGCGCCAAGCTCCTGGCATGGATTAAGGCTGTGCCATCACCAGTAAGCTCCAAAGTGGAGATTCTAAGCCTGGATCAAGAGCTGGATGGGTTGAAGGACTTACCATGCCCAAGAGGTTGGAGGTCTTCGGCTCAGTGTGCGGAGCCACAGGCAAGGTTTTTCTCCTTATGTGGATAAACTGTGTAGTCTAGCCATATGCTTATGTGAAGGAAAGTGGACAGGGATGGAGGGCAGAAAGGACAGAGACAAAGGTCTTGGTGGTCAGTAATGTCTCGGTGCCAGAGATAACTCCCCATTCCTGGGCCCTAAGGGCGATGCTCCGTTATCTCTATCTAGCCTGGCTTCCTTGTTTCTAGGCCAGATGAGGATCTGCCCACTGGGGCCAGATCTAATTCTCCAAGCTCATGGCTGCTGCTAGTTGTTTGACTGTGGTTCGGAGCTTGCAACAAGCAATGTTGAGTGTGGGGAGGATTGTGTCCCTTGGCACACCAAAGCAGTCTCTCACCACCCCAGCCATAGTTCAAGGGCTCAAGAGTCACCTGTGGCCAATGGGTGCCATCTTCAACAATACATTCAGAATGCTGCCTGCAGCCCAGAAAGCCCTTAAACGTGCCTTTGCAGAGAGGGTTTGGCATAGTGTGGTCGCAGGTGGCGCAGTGACTGGACTCGGATCCAATCTCTGCCTCATCTTCCCTGTATGGCCTTGAGTGCTGCTCACCTCTGTGCCTCTGAGTCCTCATCTCTAAAATGGGAGGAATATTAAGGTGTTGAAGAGGGATGATTCACTGCAGTTCATCATGCTAATAGCTCAGAACGCACAGTAACGGGTGCTTTTTTTGTTTTTTGGGTTTTTTAAATTTGAAAATAGAAAGCAATTTGTATTCTTCATTTATTTAGCAATTCACAGAAGCACTTGCTGAGCAGCCCCTCTGTGCCAGGCTCTCGGCCATCAGCACGTGACCTTGCCTGCAACACCAACCCCTCCAGAGCCTCTATTTTCTGACCTGAGATAGAATATGACCCTAGGGACAAAGTATGACTGGGAGTGTGTCCTTACTTGAAATGATTGATGATTTTTCTGTACAAAGATGAGGAAAACAGAAATTTTGGCTCACAGGAGTAGCACACACACACACACCAGCATTTAGGTTTAGCCACAAGGTCAGCCACTGTGACATCTTGCTGCGTGAGATAAAGGGATTTTAGGGGGCTCTTTCTGGGCCTATTCCCGTCTCTGATCTTGAGAATAGCAAAGCCAGGGGGCTGTGGCCCTGAACTCAACGGAGGACAGAAGCCAGAAAGGGTCTTGCCAAGCAGGAATCAGCTGTCATCTGCCCAGCAACTGAGTGAGTGAAAGAGCCAGCAGAGCCCTAAGTTTTTGCCCGAGGTGGGTCAGTAACTTACTGGTGTGGCAGAACCTGTGAGGGACCTGTTTCATCATCTGAAGTCTGAGGGGCAGGAGCCCAATAGCACATGCCCACTCAGCAAGAAGTCACACAGCACAGGTCCTCTGCAGCACACCTCAGGAACCCGTGTCCCTGAGGTGGAAAGCAGAGGTGGGACAGCAAAGAGTGAGCCTGTGAGCAGCAGAGGTGGGACAGCAAAGAGTGAGCCTGTGAGGAGCTGGTGCATGAGTGTTCAGGCTGCCTGGGCCACCAGGCTTCCCCAGCTTGGGCTCTGAGCCCCAGGCTGCTTTCTACTTTTGTAGATGATGGGACAGTTGCTACAGTGGCTCCACCCTTGCCTACTTGTCTCCTCCCACAGCGTGTTCTAACTGTCCTGACACC